ACTCTTTCCTGCTTATGCAGGGGGTCGGACTCGATGATCTATTGAGGTCCCTTCTGACCCTAACATCTATGAATCTATGAATAAATGGCTGTGTAGTAACCAGTGTTACTGTACAGTAGTGTCCTCATATTTTTTTCTGATGTTACTGCACAGTAGCAATGAGCTACTACGCAACAGCTTTTTATTACTGTGCAGTAGCATTGCATCATGGATAGTGCCCACCATGGTACCTCACAGTAACAACAAGCTACTGAACAGTAGCTCGTTGCTACTGTGCAGTAGCATCTTGTGTAGATGTAGCCACTTAGTAGTTACAGTTAACATGGTTTTCTCAAGAGCAAGTTGTGCCAAAGCTACTCAATTTATTCTATGACAAGGTGACAGATGAGGAAGGAGCAATGGACATGATACCATGGAATGTCTTATAATGCCACTGAATTCAGTGATGTTTATAGATGTATACTGATGAAGGTAAGTGAACTATTGACCCTAAGATCAGGGATCCTATAAGTCCCTAAGATCAGGAATGTGAAGAGAGAATTACCATTTCATTTTTCAATAAATATGTTCTAGTACAACGATAATGCTTTGAATGGGACTTTGCTCATTTTGAGGGTGAAATGATAATTGACTTTGAACAGAATTAACCTGCACATCCCAAAAAACATGGGAACTTTATTCAGCAGCTTATTAAATGAGGATGTAAAGTATGTGTCAGATGCAAGTGAGTATGAATGTGACTAAAAGTGATAACATAGCATATGGTAGATACAGATAAATTATTTCTTTTTATTTTAGTCCCTGTTGGCAAAATCTTACCAGATCTTACCCTGTTGTCCAGATTTTCCCTAGGCTAATAAATGAGAACTATCACTAAAACTAGTAGTTGTTTACAGTATTGTTTAAATTACCCCGACACCTAACAGCAGAAAGAGACATATCAAGGATATATGGATGAAAATTAAGGCCAAACAAATTCACATTAGAAATAAGGCACACATTTCTAACTATCAAGATGATTAATCACTGGGAAAAATGACCCAGGGAAATGGTGGAAATCTCCCTATGTCTCTCCGCAAGATATGCTTTAGTTAAACATAAGTTACTTGCCTCAGTGAAGAGATACCTGAGTGAAATTCTATGGTGTGCAATTATAAAACATTGAAGTAGGTGAACTTGTGGTCCCATCTCAGTTTAAAAGCATGGCTCTAATGCATGAAACCATGGCATAATTTCCAGCATCTGTAATACCTTGGAAAATATATGTGAAGCAATAGCTAATATAAAGCATATCTGATATGGAAATGATTAGGAAGCAAAAGACAAATTGTCATGTTTATAATGTCACTTTTCAGACCTCAAGCAGACTTTAACGTAAGCGCAAAACAAACAAAAAAATTATTAGACAGATCCTTGGGTCCAGCTAAGCAAAAAGCAGGAGTTAAACTGTATGAATGAGGCAGCTGAGATCCTCCTGGCAGAGTTATAGCCAGTGGCAGGAACAGCCCCAGCTGGATCATCATTGGATGATCAGAAAGGTGGCTTAGAGATGCATTCATCCCTGATGCTCTTCTGCTGTGCTAAGTATTTAGCTGTGCTGAACATTTTAAGTTTTCTGGTCTTCCAGAAAACTTTTAGTTTTCTGTTCTGGCAGGAAAATAAATGAATGATACTGAACTTGATTGTGTTTACAATTGCTATTTTGGATAAAATAGCAATTGTACATTTACTAGAATTAGTTGTCTTTGTAGTTTTGTTTTGTTTTTTTAACCTATGCTACTGAATAGATCCCTAAAAGCTAGGTCTGTCACTTAAGCAATGGTTGGTGGTGGTGCTAGATTTATCTTGTAGGTAAATCTAATTTGGTATAATCATGCTCTAAACAAGTCTGCTTTAAACTTAGTTTTGATTCTCTTTTGAGGGCTGGATGCTCTTCCTGGATAAAATGAGGGGTGATGGGGAAGGGAAGTAAAAAATAACTCCTGAGTCCCAAGGAAATTGAAAATTAGGGAACAATGTCTGAATGGGTTTTCAGTTCTGAGCCAAGAAGCACTAGAGATGTGCTCTCAATAAAAATATTTATACAAAAGAAAACATTTCTCATAGTATATTTCTCATAAACAGTATGTTTTACCTTCAATCTTTCACAACATTGCTCTTTGTTCCCTTAATAAATTCTCTGCTGAAAGGGTAAGAAATGTTTTTTTGACAGTCTTGTTTCCTGAATTTTACTTAAAATGATTAGAAGCCCGGGAAGGCCCATAAGGACTTAATCAGGGAAAGAAGAAGAAGTTGTCACCATAGGTATAGAAAACATCCATAAAAAACACCCCAAATGTATTAAGCCATAAATATAAAATAGCTAAAGTCATAGTAATACCTTATATAATATACTAATGGATCACCTCATGATTTGCATTAATTATTTAAGTTCTTGGATGACCCTGTTTCTTTTAAAGAGAGATGGACTGAGATGAGAGAAAAAATTGGTGGTTATGGTCAAAATTTCAAAAGTACACTTTAATGTTTTTAGTATATCAATTCTTGGATGCAAAACCTGAGGCTCTATGGCTCAAATACTACTCCATTTTTAGTTCATGAATAGCATTATGCTAAGTTTATCCAAGAAGTGGCATTTTGAATCACTCCTGTAGAGTTTTCAATCTTATCCCCCAGGCACAATTTACCAGGTCCTTCTGAACATTCTCAACAGGACCTGTTCCAGCCACTTATGCTCTATCCCTGTTCCTCCTCCCACAGCTGTTTATCCAGTATATCCAGTGACTATTACATGCAAAAATATACAAATCCAGGGTTCACTTCAGAGCCTATATTATTGATCCCTCTGGCTCCAGATACAGGTTCCATTCTCAGTTGTCCATTGGGCCAGCTTCAACGGGAAGGATGAAGGGTATCTCAGTAATGCCTAGACTGTGGTCTGGTAGTTCAGGCACTTTGTGGGAAGGTAGGAGATACTGAATCATGTCCTAGTCTATGGGTAGATGCCTGTCTACTAAGCTATTGGGCTAAAGACTGGGAGGGTCATCCTCCTCCTCTTCTGTTTTGCAACCTGTTTGCACCTTCCCAAGGAGAGTAGGATCTAAAATATTCATAAGTGGCTTGAAATGTCACTTATGTGACTAACTCATCTGTGAAAATGCTACTTACCCACCTAAAGGTGGTGTTGGATTTGAGCCCAGGTGTCCTTGGCAAAAGAAGAATTACCAAACAGATGTTAACCTATGGATTTTGGGGCCTGATTATCACCTAATTTCCATAAATTGTAGTTTGGTGAGAGTATTCCTGCACTCCAGTACTTCCTGCAGTGATGAGAGTTGAATTACTTTGGATTCAGAGACTGATCCAGTGCCAGTTTGAGTCACCAGGACTTTTTATTTTGGTTGAAAAGGAAGTAAGATGAACTCCTTTCATTACACTGAGAGAATAATTTGGTTCATGGGAAAGCAAACACTTCGCTATTGCTGAAGTGGTGCCTGCTAGCCTTTCAGTGTAAGATTATCTGAAGAACATCCTGATTTTTTTTCTGTAGAGATGCAAGAACCCATATGGTATCACATATGTTCTTGCTTTTTAGAGTAAAAGTCAACCAGATCTTAGAAGCAATGACCTTTGTGGGTGGTATCTTTTATTTGGGATGTAGACAAGTTTTTGGGTACCATGTAAACTTCCTCAGGCCTCTGAGAAAAAAGTAGACATAGCTTGGTCTAGATGGAACAAAGGCCTGTGTAAAGCCAGAGACCTGAGGTTTTTGGTATGTGGTACCCAAAAACTTTTCCATATCCATGCCAACTATGCAGTTGGCCCAATAAAAGATGTCACCCACAAAAAACCCTTGCACCTTGTAGTTTTCCTGGACCATCACTGCTGCAATATTACCCCATCATAACTACCCATATCTTACGCTTTCTGCTTTACAAGTGGCATCCCTAATGATTAGAAAACAACTCAAGCTCTGTCAATATTATAAGAACGTCTGTTGTTTTATTCTTTTTGGTGGGTACAAAAACCACAGTTTCTTACACAGAACAAGCTTATAAATAATATTTGTAACATGAGTGACCCGTAGTCTCTTTTGATTCTACACTGCAGACTGACAATGTACTCTAAACATTTTTTCATTTGTTTCTTGAAGTTAAGACAGATGCAAATCTGTGGAACACTGAAGGATGTAACAGAATGAAGGTAACATCAAACAAGAGGATGACCAACAGCTTTTATAAAAAAAGTCTCTGAATTTTATTACAGTGATGGCATTTTATATCAATTATTGCAATGAATTGTTCCCTAAGATGGTTAGAAAAAAGAATTGTGTTGTCCTCTACCGAATTTACATCAGTTAAAAAGCAAGCATGTTTCAATATTCCTCTTTTTTCAAAGAAAATGTAAATAATTTCTTTATTTTTTCACAGGATTTACATATTTATTATTTTTTATCACAGTTTAGTGATTTGTTTCTACAGCTGGACAGCTGGATATTCTTCCATTGTATATATCGATGTTCTGGAGACACAGGTTAGCATGTTCATTGACTTCTATAGCTATTTCCCACACTGTCACAGATCAAAATGTTGTCCTTTCCGAGCATGGTCTTCACAGTTTAATGCGCAAATTGGCAAGTCTTATTAGTTTTAAGTCCACTCAACTGAAATTTGTTGCTGTTAATACACCTGTCCCAGCCCCCTCCCCCCCAACAAAACTAAATTGTGAATTTTCCTGATATAAAATCTGAGTTTGGGTTTCCGAGCTGAGCTCATGCACACATTGTTGCTGATGATGTCTGGCGCATTTGGACGTACTTCCCTTCCTCAGCCCAATTATTAGTTCATCAATGACACTCCCATGTCGTTACAGTCTGTGCTGTGTTCCCATCAGTCACCAACACAGTTGAATTAAGGCACTCAATTATTTTTTTGGTTTTTATGGTAGGTCCGATGCAATTACAGCCAATCCTGAACTTTGTCTAATTGCAGTTCCAGTGTGCACGGCCTTCGGGCAGTCGGGAGTCAATACACGGCCGTTTTCTCCTACGCTCCCTGTGATGGATAATCTGGCTTTGTTTCTTATGGCTTCAGAAAAGGTCAGCTAGGAGCAAGAGAAAGGGAAAAGAGAAAAAAGTGTTACAATATTTCTGTTTCTCAAGAAGCCAGGGCACAACAAACACCAAAATATCAAATTTTAGACATCTGCATTTTTTTCATGTTATCTTTCAAAGAAATAAATATACACACAAATTGCATTTAACTACATTGGGGAGAAATAGAAATCAGACTAGTGATTTGGATGCTAAAATTTTGTAACAGTCAGACTCTATGGATTAAATATAAAATCACAATTTGCTTATGGCACTAGTACACAGAGGAGCACCTTACTCTAAAATGCTCCACACTATACCAAGCTAGTGTTACAATAATAGAAATAATATTTTTATGGCATTTTATCTGCCAGTCCTTATTCATGTGAATACAGTTATGTTGTGTGCAAAAGCATTGGCAGGATTAGGCCCTAACCTGTACTTTGTATGGAAAAAATATAAATAATGAATATCGCTCAAAAATTACTTCACAAACTTCAAAACTATCATTGAAAATTTAATCCAGGTTTAAAATCTAAAGAAAAGATTGCTTCCATTTACAAAATATGTATGTGCCATTAGCAAATTCAAGCTCTCTCTATAAATCTCATTCCCTACGCACCTTGCTATAACAAGAGATGGAGAGCAAGTTTCTATCAAAATATATTGATAAAAGAAGCCATTTTCCAGAAAATCAATTTTCTATAGGAAAATTTCAATTTTTGTCACTTCTATGAAAACAAAGCTTCTTGCTTAGGCTTGGGTTGACTCAAACTAAAATGTTATGTTATGCCAGAAAAAAATCAAACCATCCAGGTTTAGGTCACTCTGGCGTTCCTCTGGAGCCTCCTAAGCTGTGTTTCTACCTAATGAGGATTGTATTTGAGAAGCCTCATGCTCCCCTTTTCATGTATTGCCTTGGATTCAAGGTGGGAAAACATTTCACAAAGCCCATTGTGACCTTCTCCCTGGCTAAAGGAGCATGATGCTTCACAGGCTTCCCATGGCCATAGTACATCAGTGAAGATGTAATATGGTCAGGAGATGCCAGCTCAGAGAAAAAAAGGTAGGGCAGAAGGCAGCCAAACTACAGCATTTTGCAACAAATGTTGAGATACAGGAATTCTCTGTGGGATGGAAATTTTAACTTGCTCTAGCTATAATCCAGACAACTAATCAATGTGATGCATGTGCAGGGATAAAATCAGAAATACACAGAGGAAAACAGAAGACACAGAAGGGAAACACTTACATTGGAGGAAAGGGATAAAAGGCATTTGTATAAAAAACAAATTAACTAAGGTATTTTACTTAATCTGATTTGCTATTATGGCTGATATTTACTCTTACAGCTTTATTTTTCTTCTTCTGCTCAAATCAGCCCTGAGGTCCTAAATCTGCGTTTATGATTTGCTAAAGCTACACATACACGCACACACACGCACACACACACACACACACACACGAACATATATATGCATGAAAGAGAATTTCTCTTCCCATTACACATTCTAATGGGCATATCCATTGCTCCTGGGGCAATCATATTAATAAAAAACACATCGATCTAATTTTACATTGTGCATCTATCTGATGGATGCATTAAAGCGTAATCCCCAGATATAGAGCTACAAAGCTGCCACAAAAAATAGTATTCAGGAAAAAGCAGCATTTCCCAGACAGTTACCTAAAGACACCCAGATAATATCACCCCATAGGGATCCTGTATATAAAATCAACAGCTACAGTCAATTACCCTAACAAACCTACATAATATCATATCCCTCACAGTTATGTTGATTTGGGAAACAAATTTTGCAAGTAGAAGTGCTTTACTCATTCCCTAATGGTCAAAAACCTTAGATGTGGTGAAAAAATAAGGACCATCTGTTATAAGAGACCAAGACTCTCCTTGGAAAATGCTGTAATCAGATCTACAGATTACTAACAAAAAGCACCTGGACCTATGCCAGTTACCAGATATAATGATATAAAGAGGGAGAAATGGTTTCTTGGGTAGTTAGTACTGAAGCCCATCTATCACTTTATCAAAGAACAGCACCAGAAAAAGTTATGTATCTTGCACAGCACAGATAACAGCACAGGCAACATGGCATCATTTAGCTACTGAAAAGTATCTCTATTTTCTCCCAGTAGAGACCAAAAAATGAGACAGTGAAACAACTTCTCACAAGAAACAAATAAATAGCTAGAAAACTCAGTATGGTCAAGTGACGATTGCTTTTTGTCAGAAAGAGACCATAAAGCAGGGCTAGGCAATCATTTGGGCAGGAGGGCAATTAAGGAGTTTGGGTGAACTATTGAGGGCTAGGAAGGTGAGGGGGGGGTGGGTTGCTGATCCATCACAGCTGTTTACACCACCCGGCATGGGTGGGGGGGAGGAACAGGGGGATGCTAATTGATCGTACCTGGCCCTGGGCCTGTCTACCCTACACCTACCACAGGGGGCACTAGATGAAGTAAGTGGGCAGGGTCTCCACAGAGACTGGACCCTCATGGGCAAGACACTCAGCCAGGGGGATGGGATGGGATGGTAACACAGGTAGGAGTGGAGTGGTGTCCAGGAGCAGGACAGGCAGGAGGGGCTAGGATTGTGGGGCTATGACAGTGCAAGGCTCGGGCCTAGGGAAGAGCTGCAATGCATTCCCCATGTTTTTGCAATGGATGCTGGTTCTGGGGGCAGGGGCTGACTGCTACCTGCAAAACCAGTGCCTATCACAGAGATGCTCAGGGAGTGGATCACAGTTCTGGGATGGGTGCTGGGCCCTGACCCTAGCCCCTGCCACATACTGTCACTGCCCCATGATCCCAGCCCCAGCTCTGGCCCCAGCCTGCAGGCCCATGCCACTCCCAGACACCTCTCCTCACTTGCCTGTGGCTCCATCTCATATGCCTGGTTGAACACACCCTACCCATAGGGGTCCTGGACCAGTCTCCATGGAGACCATACCTGCCCACCCACTCTGTCCAGCACCCTGGTGGTGGGTGTGGGGTAGATGGGCCAGGGTGTCTGGGTAGTGGGGCTGGGTCCAGTGGTGGCGGTGGTGAAGACACTAGCAGCAGCAGCTGGAAGAGTGAGGGTAGAACGAATCCTGAAAAAAGCAATAGAAGGAGAGGTTGGACTTTGGGAGAAGATAAGGATATTCTGTTCTGTTCAGGTCCTTCTAGAGCCCTGATCACCTTAGTATTTGAGTGATACAGAATTTCTTTTTCATAAATATTGAAGGTAAAATATTTCTAACTTGGACACGAACTTCAAAATGCAAAGCAGATAAGAAATGCAGTAGATATGATACTACACCTTGCAACAAGAAGTAGGGAGAAAGAGAGTAAGAGCATTTGAATCAAGATCTGGTTCTTCGGGTTCACTGCTGAGGATGATGGGAGGTGAAAATGATGACTACTCCCATTACTATTAGGAAAACACCCTGGACCCTAAGGCATATCTTTTCCACTTGCACCATCCCAGCTTCAGGAAGCAACCTTCCTATCATTAAAGTTTGGCAAAATTCTTTGTATTGAAGATTTATTGGAAAATAATGGAAAAATATTTTTATTGGCTGTTTGTACTGAAAAATAAAGTTTTCTATATCAAGGAGCTAGTAAGGCTTTAGATAAGCATACAAATTGTCTATAACCATCCAAGTGTATAGATATGTAAAATTCTAAGGGCTTGTTCTTATTCTTGGCAACAAGTAGGAAAGAGGAAGCCAGATGTTACTCCTGAAAAGATACACTTGTCTCTTTGCACTTCTGGTTTGGCGCAGCTATGTGCCATCTCTTACAAGTGGCTGAGTCTTAAAAGTACAATCCAACCCTAAATGTTCACACCAGTGGTGCCCCACATATAGGGGGTGCAAGAACTTCCTTTGTGACCCAGCTGCTTTTTAATTCATATATTAAAAAAGAGTCAAAATGTTGACATTAGGTGCATCTACACAAGACACTACGGCGACATAGCAAAGCACTATGGCACCACAGCATCCATTGGCAAAAACCGTGACTCAGCTGCTACATCACTGAAGCAATGCATTACCTCATTATAGTGCATTGCTACAGCGACATAGCAACCAAAAATAACTGTGCATGGCCAGCATACCACAGTATGGGCTGTTAATGTACTGTCCTTCAATAATTCCGAAAGGAAATACCAAATGATGGTTCAGTAACAAAGGCACCATATGGCCACGTGTAGATGTGCCCATTGTGTAGCAACTTAAAACTAAAAGTGCCCAGGATTTTCATGCAGGCATTTACTTTATGGAATTGGTACAGATTCTTTTTATATTTAGAGCATCATCCAAATATGACTTTTGGTAAAATTAGCTTAGCTAAAGGCCTGAAAGCAACAGTGTGGATAGGTACCAATGCTTTCTCCTAGTGGGATCTGAACTGTGGAAATATGTGCAATCCCCAGCTGTAAGCTGCAAACAATTAACAAAAACTCTTATTAGAATGTGTAATGGAGAGAGAAAATAATTAATCTGTATAATGGAGTTCACAGTAATGACTCCTTACAGTTTCCATTATTAAAGCAAATATTTCTACTGGCAACAGAAGGTAACTGTCCCCAAATATGCAACATGTGCAGGCATTCCCTGTGCTGCTATTTTGCAGCATGGTGGGTTTTTTGACATCAGGTCAAAAAAACCTGTGCCTGAAAAAAGGGTGGCACACGTGGTGGCAGTGTGCACTGCCTAAAACCAGAGTCTGGTCAGCTGGAGCAACACTCTGGCTGCTGACGAGGATCTGTACATTGGATCACGGCTGCTAGAGCCCCGGGAGGTCCCCAGAGAAGGCTGATAGGGCCAGGCCAGGTGCTGGCCCCAACCTCCTCCAACCCACCCAAAGCATTTCCCCCCACACTAACCCCATGTGCAGGGCAATGTGCCAGGGCAAAAACCAATGGCACAAATTTGTACCTCTGCTTTTTTCCCCATGGCAACTGGTATGCCCTTGCTCATAGAGACGTGCCCAGAGGTCTTCTAGGTACAAACATATTCCCTTGTCATTGCCTTGGTAAAAATATCTTAGGCAAATAATATATCAAGCATCCTGGGCAGGATGAGCCAAGTAAAGAAAATACACTAAAAATAATCTGAAATTCTTGTTATTTTTCACTCGGCTGAAACAACACCTATTTTTAATGTGGCATATTCTGTTATTTTTAAAATAATTAAAAAAATCTTTATAAGCTTATTATTATTAAATAGCTATCAGAAAATTTCAGTTATCAAACCCCAAATTTCCCATAAACTAAAATGCTGTCACTATTTTAATACCATTTCATACAATTGTTAAAATTGTTGCAAAAATGATCCAAAATCAAAAAATTTGAAAAACAGACTTTATGACCTCTTCCTCTTATTGAAAATGGCATTTTTTCCATTAGGGGATAAATGATATTTATCTAATATTTATCCTTATTATAAATATATAGTATATAATATAAGTATAATTATAATATATAATTATATAAGTATAATAAATACTATTGCATTATTTAAATATTAAATTGATATTTCATATGTTAATCTAAACAAAAAGGAGCAAAAGGTAAAGATTTAAACAAATTACACTAATATGCAGTTTTGGTGCATCCTAGTATACAGGTTTGAGAATAAATATGTTTACTACACACTAGGCAAAAACTGTGATGCCGCCGCTAAGTCACTGTAACAATGAGCTCCCTTGTTATAGCACATTGCAATGGCAACGTAGCAGCCAAAAATAACTCTGTGTAGCTGGCACGGTGCAGTATGGGCTGTTACTGCACTGTCTTTTAGTACTTCCAAAAGGAAGTACTAAATGATGGCTCAGTAGCAAAAGTGCCGTATGGCCGCATGTAGATAGATGCGCTCACTGTTGTGGAAAGTATCAACAATAAAACTAACAGTGTGTAACATGACATGTACCTCACTTAAATTAATTTTGATTAGTCCCATTAAAAAAGAACTAGCAATTATATTGTGTTCCATTGTCTTTGTTTACCTGTTTGACATGAATACGCTTGCTCACTATAATAGCTTGGGAATGCTCACTCTGCTGGGTAAACCAGTGGAGAATTGCTGGGGAAAAGATCTTCTTATCTACATTTTGCTTAATTACATTTACATCTTTTATAAACTTTTCAGTTTGAGGCAGTGGTTAACCTTGTATCATCTGGCAATTCTAACTCCCAGTGCCATAGGGTTAATGAACATCACCTCAAGCACTTGCCATCATTTTGGCATTTACTTCAACATGTGGCCCAGCAACAGGTGCCATACCTAAAGTATGTGTATAGTCAAATCTAGGCTAGACTGTGATCACTGTTCTATTTTGCCTTGGCCTCCTTTACCTGCTTATATGAATAACTCTGAAACTCACTGACTTAGGTGAGTAAATCACTTTCTTGTCCTTGAGAAACTAGGCCCATGTTATGATTAAAATATGTCCAGGTGATGACTTCTTGTATAAATCAGTGGGAGAATAAAGGAAAACAATGCCCCTAAAATATATTTGGGGTAGCTTCTCTATCACTTTTTTACCACAACCCCCATCCCACCCTCTTTCAAACAGTTCTGACACCCATTCTGATCCTTGAACAATTCCTGCTATGATAATTGTACATCATGCATTAATTGGTGTTTGATCTGGATTGCATTGTTTTATAGCATACAAAATATATATGAAGGAAAGCTCTGCCTTTATACTATAAACTTCCCAGGATGACTTGTTATTTGCGTACCACACTTCAGCTATTATATACTGCCCAGGACTCCAGGGACCTGTAAACAAGACATAATAATTGCATCTGCAATTCTTTCCTTTTAAATCCATGTGGCAAAATAAGATTTCTATTCCAAATTTACCTCTCAACTCCTTACTTAAGGTCCGTTTCCTAGTTTAATTATCATCTTACTATTGTTCTAGGAGACCATGGTTTTAAAAAAATATGTCAAAAAAGGCAGTGTGGAATAGGAATAGTGTTCACCACTGGAATGGACTAAGACAGTGTTGATGCTTGGGAACATTTATAAAGTATTTGGTAATATTTGGGAGCTCCATAAAAGTTATCTACAAAAGGTCCATTTAGTTATATGTGCTATTTCAAAATATTTTAGTGCTGATTTTAGTAGTCATTAGCTAGCAGATTCTTACTGAATAGACCAGTCTCTCACTATGTTAAAGAAATACATGTATAACTATTCTGTGGTACTATATAATAAGAGGTGAAACATCTTTAATGCTTCAGTCATTGGAATCCTAACATGCATATCTCAGATGTACTGTCCCTCTGAAGTATGCAAGATTGCTTTGGTCTGCTGGAAACTGACAGATACCTTGACTCTTTTCACTAGAATGGCATTTTTTCTGGTTATGGCAGTGTGACAAGGGTTGACCTGAGGCAGAACATACTAAAAAAATGCCATGTTCAAACAGTATAAAGTTCAGATACATTCATAGAAGGGAGTGATGAGAGGAAGGAAGTGGGGCAAGAAGATGAATCATGCTTAGAAGTGTTATTACAGTGCCGCTCTCCCTCAAAGTTTAACTATGGTTCACTGAGGTGCTGCCTAGTATAAATTTTGCTTATAATCCCCATAAAAAGTACAAACGGTGCTAATAAATAATAATCAAATATTATTATTATAATTGAAGGCCTCAGAAAAATAGGCCAGCCAGTAAACCAACCAAGCTCTGTCCCTGTCAAAAGGACATGTTTTCTCTCTAGTAGATAAATTTTCAATAACTCTAATGTTCCAACTGATTCAATAAAACTAAACTCTTAAAAAAAGAGATATTCTTTATATAAAAAAGCCCTTGCAATGCAGATGTCTATTAGCAACATAGAGTAGTATACTGTACATCTGCAGCCAAAAAAAATTGAATCACTTTGCACTGAAGTTTTCCAAAATATAAAGCTCTGTTTAGAAGCAAGCATTACCACCACTGGACAGACAGGTCACGACACTGATGCATCACCCACTCACTGTAGTAGGCCCTAAGTCCTACCCCTAAATTTTAACACTTTCGGTTCCATATACGTTGTAACCTTCTCTATAAGTTGCTAAATTGTGGGTATTCTGCGAGGAAGTTGGATTAAAAGTCTGTGCACTCTTTGCCACCTTCATTCGCTTCGCCTCTGCCCTGGACTTGTAACAGAACTCTATCAAAGCCACCAGCATTGCCAAGCCCAAGCCTCCAACCAGAATGTAGAAGACTCCAGCAACGTTGCTGAGACTCAAGGCACTGGTCTTGTCCTGAGAAAACAGAAGCAACATGGTTAACCACTGATACAAGATACACCCAGTGAGCAAAAGCTACACATTGAAAACATGAATTAAAAAAAGTTCTACTGAAATTAACTGATAATCATTTACAAATTCTCACAAAGGTTGGTCTGTCTAGATTTGTAAAATACATTTTAGGTGCCAAGTGTCTCTGACCAACATTAAAAAATGTTTAAATGTGTGTTACCAGTAGTTTAGGACATAAAGAGGCACTTGCTAACAGCTGTAAATGTTATTGCCCTTAACTGTAGCCCTAAACAATGATATATTCCACTATTTAATAAAAATGTTAATTGGGATATGAAACTAGATTTATTTAGGGTTGTTTAAAAGCTTTCTAATCCCCTAATCTGTTTACATAAAATAGTACACTTCATGATTTTAGGAAGATATCATTTTTACTTCTGCTTTGTATTGCTATATATTTAAAAACCCAGATTGCCTAGCACTGTGCTTATTAACGTACACATTTAAAGTACTGGTATATTTGATTTAACACTATCCTTTATAATTCATGAAAAAATCATTAATATAAAATTAGTCCTGGAATATATTAGGCACTACCATTAGTTTTATGCATAATTGATTATATATTTTCATTTTGATGGTATTGTACTATTAGGCTTCTTCCATAGAGACTGCATTAATAAGGTTATTTAATAAGCAATACATACATTCTTGTAAATCAGTTTCCTAAGTATTTATATGTTAGAAAAAATAGGGTAATAGCTTATACTAGTGTTTATTTTATACATTCTCTGCATAATGGGCTTGTTATAACAGATATCTATTACACATTTTATTATAAGTGGTTTGGACATAAACTGGTGTTTTATCTGGATGTCAAAATAGGTTCATACTATTTCAGTTCAACTCTCTAGGCACTTTTTCAGAATTGATTTTATGTAATAATTTGTTAACATTAAGCTAGATATAAAATCTATCTTTAATAGCAAATTTTATATATTTTAGTCTATGGACAATAGTTAACTTCTTGCTGTAAACTATGTCAAAATTTAATCAATAGTGAATGCTATTATACTATACTATTATACACTATATAACACTGCATATTATTTGTAGCAATATTTAATTTAAAGGTGCACTATACGACCAAGCCCTAAAAACTTGGCAATTAGCAGATCACACTGACATGAATGCACAGGAAACCTAGATCTGAATGTAGTCAATAACTGGCATGGTTTATTCAATATCATGTGTCCCCACCTTAGCAAGTCTAGAGTAGCTTCAGCTTTGGAGGTGATGGCCACTTCTCCCTGATGGCAGGTCAGTTGTAATCCTGATGCTTGTGCACAGCAAGTCAGGAGTGAGGGAAAACTATGGCCTAAAGTGGTAGGTAAAAGCCTCTTAGACTTTCATTTGCAGTGATTATGAGATTGTAATTTCTGCAATTGCAAAGACCGCATTACTTCTGATGGATTTATATGTCCTCAAACTTCACTTGGCATGGAGTATGAAAGATAGGAGAAATATTTATTTCCATTTGTTTTCTTTTGGCCATATGGAATCACTCTTAGCACTAAGCAGCAATGAATCACTGCCTCATACTCCTCTGTAGGCCCAGGGCAACACAAATTGGAGCTGGGGCAATATCATTGGGAATTCAGGGTGGGGCAGTAATTAATGGGGTCTATTCATATGGAAGAAAAATATGTGAATCCCAAATATTTCTCTTTAGGATGAAAAGGAAGTGGAAAAGGACATCATTGTCTAAGTTTTGTGAGGAAAAATGCTTTTTGGGCCTTCTAAAGGGTGTCTGGGAGTAAAACCAAGAACTGATATATCAGGAGGAAGAGGCAGAAGGTTACTAAAAGTTGAAGCCCTTTCATCTCAGAATTCAAGTTTGGTGTATTCCTGCTCATTGTGGAGATGAGTGTTTCTTATATACAGCTAGACCAGGCTGCAATGAAGGAAGGAAATCCCTTTTGTTTTGGTGTCTCACCTTCTAAGAACATAGTGATTTCAGCTAGGCCATTTCTTAAATGAGAAGGAACAAGTGGATAGAAGGAGGGATTGCAAAAAGAGCAAACAGAAGAATGTTCTCAGCACTTAGATGAAAAATATCCTGCTTTTCAGATCTTCCAGCATCCTTTAAACTGCAGGAAAATGTCAGGTGATTTGTGATTTTAAAAAAAATTAACCTCATGGGAAAACTTAGGAATGTAATAGTGCTTCTTTAAATTAAACTGCAGTCAATGGCATTCTGTGGTGAGCAGGGGAAAGCATATTTTGCTGAATCTACTTGTGAGTGATTATTTCCAAGTCATTTTTTTCCATTACTCCCTTTACTGCTTTGTGAACACAATAGTAGGTCCCGAACTGCAGCAACTGACCTTACTTCCAGAGTCCTTGGGTCCACATTCACCTTTATCGTACCACCATTTGTTTTTCAGCTTGTCTAAGACGCCTGCCTCACTGAGTTTCAAAACGGCAAGGTTTACAGGAGTTCTTCACGTGGAAAATAACATAAATAACATTATATATGTTATTTTATGTTATTCAAGTACAACTACATAGAATCGCATTGCAAAGTGACAGAGCAGAGGCCACAGTGGGTGCTATGTCATGTACTATAGGCCCAGGTTTAGAGACAGACATATGACCGGGACCTGCTCCATCGCTTTAGGTAACGGGCACATACTGCTGGGGAAGTCTTGTAAATAAATAGTATGCAATTACTGTGAACCCAAAACTATTGGCTTAGATGTATTAACAATATAGTCTTCCGGGATGTAAATGGGTTAAACTTTTAAAAAATGTACTCATCTGCATTCCTGTGTTTGCATCTGTCTTCGCATCTATATATAATTCAATTTGGCCAGAGCTATATCATTTACTGCCCCAAAATGAGGAAGACAGGAGAAACAATACTTCTGTAATTTTTTTTTTAACCATACCAATCCTATGGGCATTCTCAGTGCAAATCACCTACTGACTTCAACAGGAGTTCTCCATATACATAACCTACAAGATGAGGTCCAAATGTTGTTACCCTCAGTTAAAAGGCAAGAGAGAGAGAGGCAATCAAAGTTTGGCTTCAGTTTCCATCACCAATTGAGTTTGTACTGCCTGAGGTCCTGGAAAATAAATTCAAGGTTTTGTTTAACTCTCATGGATTTGGATGAATTTTACAATGAGATAGTAAATTATTACTTGAAACTTCCTCTCTTAATTGCATTATTTTATGGCGACATTCCAGTCATGTTTAATCTTAAAATAAAACAGAATCCAGGGAACTGAAGTTAGGAACTGCTGTGGGTTTACTTAATTAAAAATATCTTCAGGATACTGGATTAATGCTTAGGTTTCATGTCAGTGTTGCAGTACAGTTTGTAAACCACTGAAATAATACTTGACTATAATGACTTTAATTTACCTTCTCCAGCAAATCATCAACTGTCAAATGCTTAAAGTGGTACACACATTGATATGTATTTATGTGCAGGTGTGAATTAGCATATAGTATATTGCAGAGAGGGAGAAAAAAAACAGAAACAGTGCATAACATACAGACTGCTCTGAGATGCCATAAATAGACTGAAAGGTACCAGTACATCATATAATACAATAATTGAGCTTGTATGTATCACCAGATTCTTTTGATAAAATTCATTCATACAAGAAAGTGTAATCCATATGATTTCTAACTAATTTATGGAATTAAGGCTTGAAATATCATAAAATAAATTAAAACTATGAGAACATTACGATTCACAAATGAATCCACCTATTAAAATAGGTAGTATAAGAGAGAGTAAAGAGATTTTAATCATACTCACATGATTTTAAATCTAATTCTCAGAATTCATATGCAAACTTGAACTCGGATATAGACAGAAAATTACTTTTTAGCATTCTGATGTTATAATTAGGGCTCATGACCTTAGTAAATACAGACTATCCTCTGTATATTTTCAAGTACCATGTAACAACTTCTATAAACTAATAAAAATGTTTAATTTGCTTTCAGACCCATGTCCATTTAGTGCATATGAACACGCTGCTTATACCATAGAAAGCACTGGTAGCCTTGTCTTGTTCAACATTTAAACTTACATTTTATAGTCAGGCTTCCTGGCAGGAGGCTGTGCAGGTTGAAAGTGGAGTATAAGAATTCCATAGCTGAGAAAACTGAAATGAATGAATACCACTTTGATATGCTGGCAAACTGCCTGCTAATATGATCCTCTCTCTGTGTCTGATACAGATGTGAAATAATGGACATTATGATATGGTTAGAAGATAGTAATTGTCCATAAGCACTTACATATTGGCTAAGTCCCCATGCAAATTCTTCCTGTCCCATTTTATATCATAGGATCAGTTAAAGTCCATAGAAGGGACAGCTAGGTTTTGTTCTTCTGGTAAAACTCCAGAGCAACTTCACAGAAGCCAAAAGAATTACTCCAGATTAAAGTGAGCTGAGTTAGATGAGAATTAGAATGTAGATATTAATTTTTTAACATAAATATCAAGTAAAGTAGCTATATATTCTTAGGTAGAAAAACACTTAGTTCCTCGTTCTTTTACCTAGCATTTCAGAATTTAGGAACATAAAGAATCTTAGCCTGAGACATTATGGATTTCTTTCCTATCTGAAATCTACCTGTATCCCCCTCTCTTCTTCTACTGGCCTCTTCTATACACAGTGCTGTAGAGGAATCATCTAACCAATTTCATGATTTACCTAACCTGGAAAATGGCCAAGCCTTCTGTAATGTTTGGCTGAATGCTATAGACAAAAGGGATAAGGAGATTCTATAACCACTGCGTTATAAATATTGAACAGTAACATATCGTCAGCCCTGGTCTCCTAATTTTCAACGCTACTTATTCTGCCCAGGCACCTGCTGCATCAGTAGTCTACAGCAGTTAAATCAAATCTGCTCTCAGACATACCGGATCAGCACATGTAGCATCAATGGGAATCTTGTACAAGGTTGAGAGAG